CAAATGGCCCTCTAAGTGCAGCTGATCTTGTCATTCAGACTCATTACGCCAAGCTGGGACTCGGTTTAGCATGATTAGATGGTTGGACTTTTAATAACAGCTCTGCATATTTTTATCAGCGACTCTCTAAAGGCTTTGAGTGGTCTTACCACCGCAACACTTGAGGACATTTATAGCTGCTGTCAGCTGAGTTGAGGTATTTAAAATTAAAACGTGGCCCCTTTTGTTCAAGTTGCAACACAAAGCGAGATTCTTGTGTACAAAGCAAGTTTCTAACTTTGTGTCTGGTTTTAAGTGACTATCTTGCAGCTCGTTCAGGTTTTTTATTTTTGGCATAAGTGTCAATCAAAAAGCACTTTATTCTAGTAGTGGCTGCACTCCCAAACAAWTTTTTTTTATCGTTTTTCTATTTTTTTTCTTTTCTTTTGCTTGCCACCAGTATGGCGCTCTTGTCAAACCCATTTGACACAACTTCTTTGTCATATTCTGGAAAGAGGAGAGCTCCCAGGTCAAATCAGACTGACATTATCAGTTTTTCTCTTTTTTTTTTTTTGTGGACACAGCAGAAGATTCACACACACTCACAGGTGCACACATCATTACGGCAGCTCCACCGTAYGAGGCTATTTCCGTGACAGATCTCTGCTTAGCGCTCGTCTGTCATCAGCTCTGTCATATTGCATGGTTGCTAAGCCAACCGCCACACAAAGTCAAGAAAGTGAGGTGAAAGAAGCGATCCTATTCCCGAGCACCCGACTCGCTGTAAATGACATGGGTTTGACAAACACATGGCACCAAATGTGTGCGCCATTAGTTCATGGAAATATGATAAGTGCAATAATCTCTAACAGGCAGATTTGTCTTGAACAAGCAGTGAAAAGGCTGTAAAATGCTCCTGACAGCATTATCGCTTTCACTATTGGTATGTACTAATAAAAGCCTAAACTCCGACCTTCTGTGCCAGTTTTTTCCCCTCTCATACAATGTGGTTGTAAAAGCATAGCCTTGTATTAGATCGTAAAAAACTGACCTGACCGCTGTAGGATTAAAAAAAAAAAGCAATTTTAAAAAGGTAAAATTATGCTGTAAACATTTACTATCTGTGAGAACCAGTGTCAAAATGAGGTCATGCTGCTATAATAGTAAYTCACTGTATTTCACAGCAGAATGTCATTTCAAAGTACAACAAAGTTTTTCATGTCAAACTTAAGAGAATAAAACTGCAAACTTATTAATTAGCACGCTTTAGCAGTTCTGTCAAAGTTGTTCTAACTCATTTCATTTTCTTTCTTGGTTAGTGATATTTTTCTTATTTTGTTTAACCTTTACATTTCCTGATACGTCTGTTACAGACAGAGCTCAGAATAAGAAAATAAATGTTGCTAGCATTAATGTGTATAATATTATGCTGCATAAGTTGGCTAAATAAGTTAGGCATGTAAAAAGCAGCAATACATCAGATGTTTGTGAAAATCTGGATTACTTTCTTTAAAAGTAATTATAATTGGTGAGTTAAGGGATGGTTTAAAGGGGGTGTGTYATGCAAAATCAACTTTTTTTGAGCTTTCTATCATATAATGTCATTCCCTCATCAAAAACATACCCAGAGTGTTGCTTTGACTCATTCATGAACGTTTGATAAATCCTTGAATCTCCTGTAGCCACGTGTAGCTGCCTAAACGCTTGCTGGTACAAAGCTCCATCTATTTGTACAAAGCTCCTCCCTGGAGCTCAGTCTRCAGCCGAGCRCCCACCCGACAGAGCACCCCTCCCACGAACCATTGTTCTGAAGTTGTGCTGAAATGGCAGTGTCAGAAATGGTAGGACGTTCTTAAAGAGACAGAGGCCAATTTCAAGGCACTTAGATAAGCAATGATGCAAAGTCAAAYTTATTTTTGAAATATATTTCATGACAACTGAAGGTAACAGTTMTTTCATTGTGGTATAGRATTGAACTATGTGCCTGTAAAATACAATATCTACCTTTATGAATCCTCATTTAGTTACAAAACCATGCACATTAYATGTCTGCCTTTGTGTAAGTGAGCAGATGAGTGTGTCTCTTCTACAATCCTCATTAGCATTGTAAAAACTGAGGCCATCTGATCCATCTGCCCTCTGAGGTCAAAACAGAGCTGCTGTTGTAACTTTGAGAGCAACAAACCTCCTGTGTTCAGCCTGCTTTGAACYATTAGGAATCAATCTGTAATACATTGAATGACATGTGTCTATAAACAGATGTCTCACAACAAACTAAAATTAAAAATACAAAGCCACCAATTTCTCAACACTGAACATTTAGTTTCCATCATGTAAGTAGACCTTGTTGTTTCTTTCCGACTTTTGGTCTTATGATCCTTTGTTTTGTATACTGCAGGATGAAAYGAGTGAGATGGGTCATCTTCTTCTCATAAAACCTTTTTATGGCCACACAGGGGGACAGTAAATTTTTTATTTGTTACTTTGGATGAGCATGGCTGTAAAGGCACACCCAGTCAATCAAACAGTAAATCATATTTATTAGTGGGTATATGCCTTTTAAAATATATGTTATATATTTGAATAGCAACATAGCAGCTGAAAAACACGCAAGTTGTCCAAAGGTTTAAATCTTGAAGTGATGTGTTGCTCTGGAATCGGCATGACTGCAACTCCCTCTTGGTGAAAATGGGTAATTTTTCCAGTCAAATCAAATTAATACTGAATTAATCCCTTGAAATCATCACAATCGAGCTATAAAAACAATCCTCAAGTTGCCTGGCTTAATCTAAAAACATTTAATTAACAGGTGTTTTCTGTAAGTGTATTTGCACCATTTGTAACAAACCGACTTGAGTGTACCAAAACTGATTTTAGGTCATCGTGAACTCAGATTCATCCCTTAGTTCACACTAGACATGTGTCTTTATAGTGTAGTAGTAAAATCCCTTTCAACCAGAAGATGGGAACTATCACAGGGACGGAGAGACAAACAACTGCTAGAGTTAGAGACACCAGGTGAACCAACATGCATATTTTGGTCTRTGGTAGGAAACCRGAGTAGCCAGAAAAAACCTAYGTTAACATGGCGAACATGAAARCCCAACCTGTTAGGTCCAAACCTGGAATGCAATCTTGCAACCTTYTCAATGAGACGCAACAGTTCGAACCACTGCTCCACCATGCCATTCAAGTTAATGACTTGAAGCAATTAAATACAATCAGTCAAGCACAGACAAATAAAATAAAAACAACCAAATTACTTTACGAGTTGTACAATTTGCCATTTAATACTGGACAATTACGATAGGTTGAAAGACACTTTTGCATATTTATTATCGGAAAGCTGGACCATTACTTGTACAGCAGGTCCCATAGTGATATGAGAACTCCAAACAATTGGACATGTTTGCTATTTGCCAATTTATTGTATATTTATGAATCCATAGTGAGTGAGAATAAGCATTGACTGTAAGGACAACTACTGGCAGTTAGTTCTACAGTGGTGACCCTGAATCAATAGTGAGCATATTCACTGCATGGTCTCAGGCTGTCTTTGTTGGGAATTACAGCATTGGAAAGTACATTGAATTTATTCTTTTTATTATTATTGAAAGAACAAGTCACCATAACAGGACAGAATTTGCTTCCTGGTTCGTGAGTAGCAGATCTCCAATGAGCAAAATAATAAGTAGGAATACAACGTTTAAATATTTTACTTTTATATGTTGTTTTTGTGCTTTTTATAGCCAAAATCCTTTGTTTCCAGACACCCCCCCCCCCACACACACACACACACTTTTTTAACACACACCTCTGGTTGGCACACTGACTGGCCTAAACAGCACCCAGATATATGAGCATAAGGAGGATCAGGGAGACAATGGGTACTTCCTTATCTTCCTCACAGGCAGTCGCTTGTCCTTCAGTYAGGATTAGATGGGAAAGGTATCACCAGCAGCTGGAAGCAGGAAGTGAGACGACATGCGACAACGCAGGCCACACTTCGAGTTCAGCGGCGTATGACTAATCTTTAGTCTCCTGACCATGCATGTTCTGTCTCGTCCATTTCTTTACCACCATGTGTGGGGAGCCAGATTAAAGCCAAGTTAATTCACAACGTGGAAGCCTTTTTAAGCCCAGCTGGTGTGCTGATAAAAATCCAAAGAGGTATGCTTCGCCAAGTGGAACCATGTATGTGAAACATGTTGGAAGAGAAGAGGGGGCGGCAGGCAACAAAAACTACCACAAAGTCAGCCACTTTATCATGAATATAATTCAGTTTTAGTCAATTCCAACTCGTAAACTTTTGAATGAAACAGGTTGTCTATTCCAAATGGCAGAAAAAATGAGGAAAGGGTTTTTATTTATGTTAAATCAATACATGAAATGCAAATGCATTTTAAGTAAAGTACTTTTATTTTTTTCTGAATAGGATAGCTGCCAGTGCGGTGTGCCACATTTTGTTTGTTTTATTTTGTTTTTTTATTACTCGATGCACTTGGAGAAAGTTTGACGTTTTCTTGGGCAGCAAAGGTTCATGGGATATTTCATAAATTGATAAAATATGAGTATGTATGCAAATCTGTGTGCTTGTAACACCGCATTATGTAATAATGTAATAAAATCGAGCTTCAAAATGTAATAAAACTACACAAAAATTGCATTTTGTAATAACGATATTACATTGTGTAGCAATTGATACAAAATGCAGTGCTTGTGCGTTTTAGAAGTAATAATGTAAAAATGTAATAAACAATCACAAACCAGTGTTTTTGTTCATCCTAATCAATACACTTGTAATAATGATCATGTTGCATGTTAAAGTGACTCTAACGACAGGAAATTACAACCAGGGCAACTGCTGGTGGGCCAAATCCAATGGCTTGGCAGGCCAATYTTGGCCCGCAGGCCCTGCTTGATCAGTCCCCACTGACATAAAGGGAACAAAAATACCCAGTTCAGTTTACTTAGCTAATTTATGACAATTTTCTAGTAAAACAATAGCCGAATATTTAAAATTTAATTTATATATTTCAAAAACTTGGGAAAGTGTGTTCTTCAAACATTTTTTAAACTATGTCATATTTTTGTATTTTTTTCAATATCTTTTTTAGAATAAGCAGCAATAATTAAAAAAAAACTACATTCGGAATTGAGTAGAACAAATACATTTTGCAGTGGAGCATTTCATCCCGACTGTTTACACCCATTGTGTGTTATTGAGCGATCCAGTCACACTGAGTGTGCACGCTCAGCTGAGCATAGCTCCAGTTCTTATCCACAAAGCCGGGGGATGATGCATCCTTGTGCTTCTCCATCTGCCTTTGAAGTTTTAGGTCAAGTCTGCGTATGAAAGTGCCRGCGTGCGCATGTGTGTGTGGAGGAGGTTGGCCTTGTGCCCCTCTGTAATCCCGTTAAGCACCTGGACAATGGGAGAACAGCTGGCTTGGCCTTCCTGTGCTCTGCAGCATGAAGTGGAGGAGAGGATGTTGTGCACTGCATTCAGAAGAAAGGGGGAAAAAAGTAGGGCAGTTATCACAGACACCAATTTTTCAAATAATTTTTTACGTTTTTCCTGTWTCTGTTCTTCCCTCGGGTCATCGATGCTCCTCTATTGGCCCTGATGCTCCATTCGTCTTTACAGTTCAATACTGGCACAGATGTGGTGGAAAGTTTAAGGGGCCCACTTGTGCCATTAGTTCAGCAGCAGGGCCCGGGAGCAGCGGGGGAAGACTTCTCTAATCAGTTTTATTGGAGCTTCGCTATTGGGTTAACACAACAGGGTCAAGCACAGAACCCAGCGGCAGTCCACYGTAAAAGTGTGTGTGAGGGTGAATCTGTAGGTTTAAACCCTAGGGCTAAAACACAGACTCATAAGTCTCATATGTATGCTTTTATAGTGGCAAAAGAGAAGCCTGAGTCTCAGCTGGATGATGGAAAAGATAGTTTTGATGCAAAGTTGATACAAAGATGTCACAAATCAATTTTCTGTGTGCATGTGGCTAAGGAGAAGATGAAGGTGGCAGCTTTAAAGAACAAAACAAAACTTAATAAGCGGGAATGGCTCCTCAATGAGAATAAGATGAAGGCTGGACTTTAAAACCAGCTCTGGCTACATCTTCCTAATGAGTATATTTTCAAATGGATTCTAGTTTAGCTGCTTTATTTGATTTTACTTGTGTAGATTGGCAGCTTTTGTTAACCTTAAAAACATCACTCCATAATTTGATAATTAAATGACTGGGATCTATTTAGCGCTTTATTTTACAGAGTCAGTCATTTCACCTGAACAATCTGGACCAGGGAGACAATGAGCGGAGGAGAGACAGTCATTATGAGGGCTGGATCTGAGCATTGGCCCACTGCAGAGCAATTAGACAATAATGAATAGTTAAAATGTAATTACTAGAACAAAAGAATCAAAAAGGGTTGTTGCTTTTCAATTACCATTGTGTACCATTATTTCCCCTTGGCTTTTAGAGCCGTGATGTAGATAGTGCTCTAATTGCGTTTTTATCGAGACAAATGGTTTAGACTGTTAAATAATGTATGTGTTATGGCTACTGAGAGCATGTGTGTRTGCGTGTTTTAAAGCGTTGCCCACGGGCTCTTCTCATGCCATTGGCTTTGAGATGCTCAGCTGGTAGGGATGGTGATTGTTTTGACCTTTAACAACAACCAAAGACGCCAATAAGTCAATTCAAAAGCAAACTTTATCTCTACAGGTGGCTGAGAATGTATTTTTTTAAAGAAGAAAAAGTGTAAAGGACAATCGACGATCACTATTTGATTTCCAAAACTGGAGAAAATCTCTTTGTTTTAACTTTGTTGTAAGTAAACACTGTTTCAAACATGATGCAACATTTTCCGGTCATCACAATAGGAAATGTCCATTTGGTGGTTTTATTTAAGTTGAGCAAAGAAGTCTGTTTACATCAGTTTGAAGAAGGAACAAGTCAGTACCTCATTGGGCTGTGACTAGTTGGTGAATAGCATTCTCCAGGGAGTCTCCACTGTCTCAAAACATTGGTGAGAGCTCTCAGTTTCCTCATGTCATCCCCAGACTCTCACAGTTTTGTTGATTGACTTGTGAACATGTTCTAAAAAAATATGTGTGTCAAATTTAGTCACAAAACAGTCCCAGATTTGAGCTCCAGAGCTACGTTTCTACACCTCCAGGGAAGCTCTCCCATAAAAGAAAGCTTTCTAGGATACAGCCCAGAATGCCCAGGTTAAAAAAAATTCCAATGACGAATAAATTACTACAAAAGCTGCTCCTAATTTGCATATTTTCATTTAAAAGTGTACTCTAGTCCACTAAATCTCAAATGTGGAGCCAGCTGCCACAGTGGGTACAATGTGTAAGTCAACAAAATAGTAGGCTAGAAGGCATTTTTGAAAGTAATGCACACAAAATAAGCAGAGATTTTCAAAGAGAGGCCACTCAAAACCCAAGCACATAATCTAACAGGTGGCAAGCAGCGAGACAACAATGGAAATTTTGCTTATTTCCTCGCAATTTTGAGTCAAACTAGTCTTCAACAGGTGCAGCTTAATAAGATAGCTTCTTGTTGCCTTTGGGTCAAAATGACCTAGGAGACCTTGGTTTTGAAACCGATGCTTCATGGGTCATTTTGACCCAAGGACAGCAGGAGGGTTAAACTGCATGATTCTAATGGGCTTTGAAGAAAACCCAAGACATGATCATCTTTCCCAATTAGATCAGCTCACTACCCACAAAAACACTTTGTTCTGTTATTACAGGTGTGTTTGTCCTTGAACATCTCAGGGAATTAAACACTCGTCTGCCCAATGCTTGGTTTGTCAAATAAAAAATATATAATTTGTTTCTTCATAAAACTTTGATTCTGTATAGTTCACTTCTCACATAAAATTGTGCAGTGGTGGGCAGCACCAATCTAAAAAATTAGTTGCACTAACTCTAAAGCACTAACTTTATTATTTAGGTCCCCTAATTTTAAAGCACTAACACACTAAAAAATTTAGCAAAGCTAATTCTAAAGCACTAAAATCCCAGCTGACCCGTGGACCATTCCTCAGAGTCAACATGAGACAATATTTTCTGTGTGGAGAATATTGTTAATATTTTTAGTTTTTTTTTTTAATTGATTTGATTTATTTATTTAACAGGAAAAGATTATTAAAAATCAAGCCTGACTCAGCAT